GTTGAAATGATGCTGGACATCCTCAGAGATCCAATAAATTGATCTGAAATATAAAATATAACAAGCACTTTTTCTTATATGTTAATTTTATTTTCACCACATTTCTTTTAACCTGTCTTCTAACATCCCAGATTTGGCTGGTTATCTGACATTTTCAGAGCTATTAACTAAAGGGAGCATTGTCAGAAATTCAACGTGAATTTTAGATTTAAAGGGACATTAAATTTACTAGAACAACTTTAGCTTAATGAAGCGGTTTTGGTGTATAGACCATATCCCTACAGTCTCACTGCTCAGTTCTCTGCTACTTAGGAACTAAATCACTTTGTTTATGCAACCATAGGCACACCGTAATGCATGTGACTTACATAGCCTTCCTAAACACTTCCTGTAAAAAGTCATCTAATGTTTACACTTCGATTATTGCAAATTCTGGTTAATTTAGAATTTCAAATCTCCTGCTCTGTTAATAGCTAGCTAGACCCTGCAGCCTTATTTATGTACTTAAAGCTCAATTTACAGATCAGGAGATTTAAAGTAAGTTGCATCTGATTGAAAATGAAACATTCCCCCCCCCCAAGCAGACTGTGTTAGTCATAGCCAGGGGAGGTGTGACTAGGGCTGCGACTAGGGCTGCAGAAACAAAAACAAAGTGATTTAACTCCTAAATGGCAGAGAATTGAGCAGTGAGACTACAGGGGCATGATCTATACACTAAAACTTTTTTATGCTAAAGTTGTTTTGGTGACTGTAATGTTCCTTTACGGCCAAAATAGCCAGACTTGGAGAATTTTCAATTCCCAACAATTCTTGTTTTAATGAACAACCCTGTTTGTCAAACCCCTAGTACCCAGTGGCAGAACTACCGCGGTCGCAGCTGCGACAGGGCCATCACTCCAGGGGGCCCAGCCGCCCTGTGGACCTCTGCGACTAGGTGTCCAACGCCATGTGACTAAGCCCGCATGGTAGAACCACCAGGGCCGCATGTTAAGGTGCCCATCCAGTGGTCCATGCCTTCTCCCAGCAATCAGAGAGACGTGCGGGAGGGAGTCAGAGTGGGAACTCTGACTCCCATCAGCCTGAGCCATTGGATCCCAGGGAAAGTCACCCTCCTGCACCTAAAAGGTAGGAAACAGGAGTGTGACATTTTGCATGTGTCTCTGTGTGTATATGTGTGTATGTATGTGTCTCTGTATGTATGTGTGTGTGTGTCTGTATATATGTATGTGTCTCTGTCTGTGTGTATGTGTGTGTGTCTGTGTGTCTGTGTGTATCTGTCTCTGTGTGTATGTGTGTGTGTGTCTCTCTGTCTGTGTGTATGTGTGTGTCTGTGTGTATCTGTCTCTGTGTGTATGTGTGTGTTTCTGTAGGTGTGTGTGTTTGTATGTCTGTGTGTATGTGTGTATCTGTGTCTGTATGTATGTGTCTCTGTATGTATGTGTGTGTATTTGTATGTCTCTATGTATGTATGTGTGTCTGTTTGCATGTCTGTGTGTGTATGCGTCTGTGTGTGTGTTTGTATGTGTGTGTCTGTCTGTATGTATGTGTGTGTGTCTACATGTGTGTATGTATGTGTGTTTGTATGTGTGTGTCTGTATGTATGTATCAGTCTCTGTGTGTATGTGTGTGGGTTTGTATGTATGTGTCTGTGTGCATGTGTGTCTGTATGTATGTGTGTGTTTGTGTGTCTGTATGTATGTGTATGTGTGTTTGTATGTATGTGTGTGTCTGTGGCTGTGTGTGTCAACATGTATGTATGCCTGTAAATGTGTGTTTGTGTGTGTGTCTGCATGTGTATCTGTTTGTCTGCATGTGTGGGGGGACGGGGACGTTTGTGTGGGGGCTGGGAGGTAGACGTATGTGGGGACAGCAGGGCAATTTTTGCACCGGGGCCCCCATGGTTTCTAGTTAAACCTCTGTTAGTACCCCTGACCCTAGCTTGTTCTTTGAGTATGTGTGCAAATCCCATACTTGCCTCGTGTGAGATACTGCATTATTGTCAAATGTTCTTGGGGGCCAATAACACAATTATTTATCCTTTCTCTCCTTCTTTGCCTCCTAGTCAGATTGTAGGCTATACTATGTGCATTGGATGGAGTATGATTAGATGGGTGACTGTCAGTGTGCAGAATGTTAAACAGAGAGGACAAGTGTAATTGCGGACTACATGGTGTTTCAAGCCGCCAGAGGCAAAACAAAATAGCAAAAAAAAAAACTAGAATAACCCATTGAAGTTGTAGCTTTAATCCTTCTTTTCAAAATCGGCAAAATGTCTAAAATTAAAGTGTCAATTCAGCAGCCAGAGCCATGTTTAGACGTAAGGCTTAACCCTTAATGAAAACGGAAGTAGAGTGCTGTCATTATGTTGTAATTATGCACTTAGTGATAAAGGATGCGCACTGAATGTCTTCTGCCAAACGTGTTATTTAAAAAGCTGCTCCGGCTTTGATGGGTGAGATGAGGCTATTTCTCAATGTCTCACAAGATATCTCAGAAATAACATTCTGGAGGTCTTATTATTAACTAATACCAATAATAACAATCATAATAATAACTTTAACGTGATCTCTGGGACACAATCCATGCAATGGCAATCATTGTGGGAACCTCCGGTTTAAAGGACACAATATGGTCACAGACCATGTCAGCTTTTGGTCGCCGAACTGACCCTGAGCGTCCTCACGCTCTGCATTGGGACATACAGCGTCACCCAAAACCCAATAGGAAAGTATTATACCAGCTAATCCTTACCATAGCTAACTATAACTCTTTCCACCCTAACCCTAGCTAACCTTAGCTAGCCCTAACTCTAGCCAGCTTTAACCCTCTCTAATCCTACCCCTAGCTAAACCTGACCCTAGTTAACCTTAACCATGCCTACACTAACCATAGAAAACCCTAACCATAACTAAACTTAACCCTGTCTAACCTTAACACTAATTCTAGCTATCCCTAATCCTAGCTAACTTTAAAATAAACTAATTATAGCCCTTAAATTCGACAGCTAATTAGATTTCTTTAATAGCCAATCACACTGACGATAAGCCTTAACTGACTGACTGGCTGCCAGTATTGGGCATATGAAATAAGTCAAATTGTCTTATTTTGTCAATGTTATACCAAAAAAGAACATTTTAACAGACAGGACTAGTAAGTGAATTTTTAGAGTTAATTTTTTTCACTTGCATTAAAATTATATATTACATAATAATAATAATATAACATATAAACAGTGAAAAATACATTTATCCCATTTTAAAATATTTTATTCATACTTCATGTTGTGTTATGTATACATACAAATAGAGGAGTATCATAAAAAAAGCTCTCTCTGCCTTTTATAACGCTTGCTAATTACGCCCCAATAAATCTGTGATGTTTTGAGTTCCTGGAACTTCTGTTAATGTAGTTGATGTACGGGCCATGACTGCCCTGGTCTGAGTGACACCAGTACTTGCCGGACCCCTAACTGTCATCTCCACTTAGTTTCAAGAGAGAATTACTGAGATACTGGCACTTGTGGGATCTCGAAACTTGTTTGCAAACCTTTCCCCGCAGGTGACACATCTGCTTTCCTGGTGACATCTGGTATAAGACATTTATTTTTGTTTTCCTTTGTTGTGTAGAATGTGAATTTGATTAAAGAAGGTAACATTTTGCCATTTTTGGACTATTTCGAAGCTAATCTTTATTTCCTGCTATGCCATAGTTTCTTTTCTAACATGTATCTTTCTTTATTAGAAAATCTGTATCAAATTATGTTCCAACAGTTGTACCTTAAGGGTACCTGTCATTCTGCTGGAAGGGACTGTCTCCCTCATTTCCCAAATGCCATAGCCGCATTAACTGGGGTTAAAAATGCTGCGGACTTAAAGGACCACTATAGTGCCAGGAAAACATACTCGTTTTCCTGGCACTATAGTGCCCTGAGGGTGCCCCCCATTAAAAAATCAGGACTGTCTAGACTAAATCAAGTTGGTTGGGAGGCATGCTATTGCTCTAATCCGGGTAAAAAGAAAACTGATTGAAAGCGGTTTGACAAAAAACAGTAACTGTACATAAACACCTTTTGCACCATACACTGTGGTAGTTATGGTGCTTGGAGACTGGAGCATACCTTTAAACTCCATTTATTATTGTTTAAAAAGTGCCAGCATGTTCAACAGTTCTGTACAAAGCTTGGAGAAAGCAAACAAAAATAATTCAAGAAGACAGATTTGACTTGCATGAACAAGAGTTTATGAAGCCATGCTCAAACAAACTTACAAACTAAAGGATGACGCTAATAAGACATTAGATTTGATATATGTTGGTCTTGTTCTAAATTACATTCTGTGGGAATACAGTAACAACACATACTTGAATACAACTTTAATTTTATAACAAGACAAGACATGCTCATATTGCATATCCCTTTCTTTACTGTCCACCAATAGCAGCAGAGAAAACAAAAACAGTAAGAAAAAAATGGTATACATAGTGATAAGCCACTCCCATACCAAGTCCCAGTATAAACGTCAGCACCTCCCTTCATACTTCCTCTTTCTTTGCTGCTCCACAGTCAGTTAAGTACCATTTATTTGTCTCTTGAGATTTGGTTGTACTTATTTTGGTGATTTCTAATTGCATATTTGGGGAGTTTGGTTTAAATTAAGCTTTGGGTTTACCTTATTTCACTGTTTATTTTAGCTGTCTTTGTGTGTTGTTGGTTCTGTGCCCGGGTCCCAGACCAGCTGGGGGGTTCTCTTTCCTGTTTTAACTTAGGGTGGTGTGTCCTTTTTGTCCCCTTTTTTCTCCTTGTTCTGTTTATTCCCCCGTTTTCTGCTTCTCTCTGTCTGCTGCCCTGGTTCCCTGGCCTGTTTTGGCGCCCTTTTGGTGGCATTTCGTGCCCCCTGTTCGGCACTTTTTGGGGGCGAGGGTTCGCATGCGAACGCCTGTTCGTATATCTCCAATTGTATTTTGGTTTTTCGAACCCGACCATCGTGCTTGGTCCTAATAGACTAACAGACGTTTTCGGAACGTGGACGCACCTTGGTCACGGGATTTTTTCCTTGCAAATTTGTGGGTTTTTCACTGTGATCTCGCAATTCTGTGATCTCGCGTCGTTTTCTTTCCGGTTTTCTGCCTGTGCCTGCCTCTTCCTGCCTTGTGTCTCTAGATGCTGGTCTGGGCCCTGGTGAGTTCCCCCCTGTCCCTTCTGGAGTACTAGTTTGGGTATCTAACCCACGAGGGAGCATCATATGCGGATCTGGTCTCCTTAGACAAGGAAACGAAGGACGATTTGCGTTTGTGAATTCACAACCTTTGTGCATGGAACTGCAGGGCCATATACGGATCGCAGCCAGAATTCACCATAGACTCGGACGTGAGCCTCCACGGATGGGGCACCCACTGCAAGGGTGTGTCAACAGGAGGATGCTGGTCGGAGAGCGAATCCAAAATGCACTTCAATGCTTTGGAGCTCCTGGCGGGATCCTTTGCAATTCTGAGTTTCGCGAAAGGGACTGCCAACACCTGCATTTGCCTGCAGATAGACAACATATCAGCAGTTCGATATGTCAACCACATGGGCGGCACTCACTTGGCATTGCTGGCTCACTTGGCGATGGATTTCTAGGAGTTTTGTCTAGCACGGAATTTGGTGGTCCAGGCGGAATACCTACCGGGCCTGCACAATATCCAGGTGGACTGGAATTCACGGTATCTCTCAGGCAGCAGTAACTGGAGATTGGAAGTAGAGGTATTCTGCACTATCTCATCCCTCTGGGGTCCTATTGCCATTGACCTGTTTGCCTCATGACTCAATGCCTAGATACCCCATTTCTTCAGCAGGTGGCCGAATCCAGCCGCAGAGGCGGTGGGCGCTTTTCTACAAGATTGGCACGGTTCTCTTCTCTGTGCTTTCTCTCCATTTGCCATGCTACCCAAGGTGCTGCTGCAGATTTGCCGCCAAGTTGCGGAGCTGGTCCTCTTAAACCTATTCTGGGGGACTCAGTCATGGTTTCCTCAACTTCAGGAGGAGTAGATGTTCCCAGGTTGTTGTCGAACCCTCCAGACCTGATTCGGGATCCAGCAGCCTGTCACCATCCTCTCTTCCTGGAAGGCTGCCTACTGTTGATGGCTTGGTGGATTTCAGGGGAGTTTCGGACGCAACTCAACGCCTCTTGGCAGATGCATGGGCTACCGGAATTCGAAGATTGTATGGGTCAGCTTGGAGATCTTGGGCTGGCTGGAGCCTGGCTGGGGACATGGATCCCATTTCAGCCCCTGTAAAGGCAATTCTCCAATTTCTCACGTCTTTGTTTGAAGCTGGCCGAGCGTACCAGACGATAAACGTATATAGGGCAGCTATTTCTTTGGCCCATCAAGGTTTCAAGGGTTGTCTGGCAGGATAACACCCCCTTGGTATGCTGGCTCTTTTGTGACTCCCACCTCTCTCGCCCGCCTAGACCACGGTATTCCTCTACTTGGGATGTGTCCATCGTGTTATCGCGGTTTGCCTCATGGCCATCTAATTCGGACCTTTCCTTACGCCAACTGTCGGTGAAATTGGTCACTCTCTTTTGCCTGGTTTCCTGTAAGAGGGTTTTGGATGTTCGTGCATTGGATTTCAACGCTCGTTCCTTCACTCCTGACTTTTAATATATCCAGACGCACGAAGACTTTGATTAGATCGGTTTCTTATCTGGCTTTCCCTTCAAATCCAGTGTTGTGCCCGGTGGCTTGTTTACGGGAGTATGAGATTCACACTGGACCCCATCGGTCGCCATCTACCCCTCATATTTTTCTACCCTTTCTACCTCCATTTTCCCCCCAGTGATGAGTACTACCATGGCTCCTTGGCTGAAATGGGCATTGCAGCAGGCGGGAGTGGACACTTCGTTATTTGGAGCCCACTCGGTCCGGGGTGCTTTGGAGTCCACTCGTCGATGATTACCTCGGGGACACGGTTTGAGGGCCTGATGAAATTGGCCGACTGGTCTCGGGAGTCTACTTTCCGTGAATTTTATTTCCGACCGGTGAATGAGCCTCCGTGTCTTGCTATAAAATTACATGATTTTGCTACTACATGATGAAAAGTCATGATTTTATTAAAGACACGGAGGCGAGTATAGTCCCACCCTAGAAACACTTCTGAATTGGTTTACGTCTTCTCTCCCTGGTATGTTTGTGATTGAAGAAGGTTGGTATTAAGGTAAGTGGGGTTATTATTACACTTGGCTGTTCTTGGGTTTCATGATTGTCTGATAAGAAGGGACTGTCTCTCCCTTATATTTACGAGGACCGAAATAACCGTGTGGCTCCTGTTTATTTATGCTTTCACAGTCTAATTCAGACTCGTTTGATGGATTTCGACTGATTATTGTATAACAGAATCCTCTATGTTGGCGTTTCTTGTTTCCTGTGATGGATTTGTCCCAGTTCATTGGATTGTTACCTGGTTGGACTCCGACTGGATTTAAAGACAGTGGTTATTGTGTGGTTGGACTGATTCATCGGTTCCTGTTTGAAGTTTAATTGTGGTCGCATCTCTAAAGAAAGAGGAAGTATGAAGGGAGGTGCTGACTTTTATACTGGGACTTGGTATGAGACTAGCTTATCACTATGTATACCATTTGTTCTTACTGTTTTTATATTCTTGGTGAACAGTAAAGAAAGGGATATGCAATACTCGCCTCTGTGTCTTTAATAAAATCATGACTTTTCGTCGTGTAATAGCAAAATCATGTAATTTCCTTTTCAAACATAAACCATATATATCACAATTATTACAAGCTAGACTGGAATCATACCGCACAAATTATCATTTTTTTTTAGAAGGGAGAGCCCCTGTTTGAGATCAAAATCCACTTGTCCAGTTATCCAAGTGTCTCTTTACTGGGAGCTCAGAAATTTTGGTATGCAACACTAATGCGTCTTTAAAGGCAAACTGTCCCCTGCTCACGTTAAGTGCAACCAAGCCTTTTGTTTCTTTATATTTTAGCTGACATACTTTTGTCGGTCAGTGCAAATAGAATTTCTCTGTGAGATGGCAGAATGCTTGTGCATGCACCCTGAAGTTATCATGGGACGGTGAAGCCCGCAAATTGCGGCAGTGCGGCAGAGCTAAGTACGCTTTATAACTTACATCCGCCGCTGTATTCACACGAGTAAATGCTGGAATAGCATTTACTGGGATGAAGGAACAGGGTTACTTCTTTAACGGTGACAGTTCCTCTGCAAAGTATATTATATAACTTTAAAAATGAGTTTATATTAACTCATTGCGGTCCTATGTTGGAATATATCTGACAAAATCTTTTACCTCTTGCGGTTTGATGTCGGATCCTCCCTGGAGAGTACTGCCGATCCTCCATGCTAGGTACTGCGAAGGTGAGTGTCGCACCCGGCACGGAGGATCTGCGGTACTCTCCAAGGAAGATCCGACATTGGACCACAATAGTTAAAACATTCTGTCGGATATATAATTCGATATAGCAAAGCAACAGGTTAATAAATCTTGTGCTGTTCTAAATAAGTATTTTTTTATTACATTTAAATTCTTATTGTAAAGACCCACCCTTGCTCACGTCTCCAGCCACACCCACTATGAAAAAGTTGTATTTAAAATGTTGAGGGATATAGAAGGGGTAATACACTGGGAGCAACATTTTTTTTTAAAATTCCTTTGTATTTTATAATTTTATTTCTGTTACGTTGTTTATGTATATGTCAAAGGCGTGTGATGATACGTAGTCGATATTATGTGTATAAATGCTCTTTTTTATCATCTATTAGAATCTTTAACAAATGATTACATTATAGAAGGGGGAAGCATCAACTCATTTTCGAAGCATGGTCAACAACAATTTGTGCTTAATTCCAATCTGCGACCAAGGCCAAAGGCCTCTAATTTACTCAGTAAATTGTAAATGTGCAGTTTATAGCAAATAAAGCCGGACTGCTTGTAATGAATCTGCGTACAGCAGGCAGATTGGGATGTTTGGCTATTTTGTAACTTCTGGACTACGTGCTATTAATTTATAATGATAGCACACTAACCGCACATCCTAATATAGAGGCAAACTGTGCTTCCTGCTGTGAGCCTTGTCTTTGAAATGGGTGAAGTTCTGATATATGCATCCGATTTGCATGGAGGGTTGTGGATACAATGTGTACGAGTGAAAGGCTGAGAAGTTGTAATTTTTTTTTTTTTTCAAATACATAAAATAAAAAAATAATGCATCGTCTGCTTTGATCTACTTGGGGAAGATTTCGGCATCAATGTTATATTCTATTAACATTTTCTTTGCCACAATCATTGTGACTTTTCCTCTCCAAAGATCTACCAGAATAAAATAATAAGTTCTTATTGAAGGGCCTGGTACAAACAGAAGACTTGATAAGCATATCCTAACCATCTGCCCTTATCCTGGACCCAAGCAGCCAATGACCTAATCCCCAGACCATTTGGCAAGATTTGCTATGTAAAGGCATTCTGCATTTTTATGTGTTTCTGTAAACGGCAATATTACCAAGACAGTCAGTGTGCTTGACAAGTCTTTTTTTAAGCAAAACTCCCAAGACAGAGTGCCAGTGAGTACGCACAATTCAGCACGTTCCTGGCTATCTAGTGCACTGTGTATTTTGTAAGCATACTGAAATTCCTGTTAGCCAAATAGCCAATTCCCAAAAAGCCAATACCCTCTGACTAACCTTTTCCAATGAACCAGTCGGAACTGGTTCTGAGAGCACACAAAGATCTTGAATATCTTGAATATATACATGATATCAGTGAAAAGGAATATAAAAAACAAAATAATTTTTTCTTGTCGGGCTTAGCGTACACCAGTGTTCGTCTATTCTCCTAACAGGAAGGTAGACTCTCCTTTTTTTTTTTGTCAATCTTTGTTTATTGTTTTTTGTCAATAGGTAGAAAGTTATACAGTTACAGACTATCAGAGGAACAAGACATTAACATTTGTTTCGCTACAGAAGTTTGAGTAAACAAAACCTCATTAGGCGTCAACAGTGCGATATTCATCATTTGTATCCCAAAACAGGGTGCTATTTCTTATGCCTGTTAAAGTATGACAAATAAGGGGATCATTACATTGAATCCGTATATTTTGTTCTTAGAGTCCCACTGAGCTATGACGTTAGTGTTGTCTTGTATTCTCAGTGTAGGGCTGGGGTGGTTGGACCTCATGGTTTAGGTTGTCCCTTGTTATGTTCCAAGGGGTGTTTCGTTTACTGCTGTTGGGCGTGTTTTTATGTAACTCTGACCCGTGGGGGAAGGTAGACTTTTCTAATTGGGTGGAGGGTACCTCTTCACAGTGGGAGAACTCTATCACATACCTGCTGGCCTTGAAAACCTTAGTTACAAACAGTGAAAGTTTTGTTTAAAAATAATTCTACTGCTGAGCAATTACACCGCTTATCCAATATACCAGTTGGATTATACTAGTCTACATTTTAGCGTTACCTTAGTATATGGATACATATATATTTGCCACATTTCCAAAGGACAGATCCAAAGCTGTGTACAACAGTAACTGCATCAAATGCTTAGATACAGTAAATGCTAAATATTAAACACACTTTTGGAGAAGCAAAAGCTATTGATCATTTAAGGAGGCTTTAAACCAGGGAGCAATGTGGTATCCTGTTAAATGTGATATTGTTAGCACACACAGTACTTACGACAATACTGTCTGGGGATGTTATTGGAGTTTATTGACTTGCACACTTACAGTAAGGGTACCATAAACCAATCCACTGCCCAGACTTCACATTTACCATAACGAGGCAATACCACAGACTGAACTTGAACTCACTGGATGTGAGAAAGTGAATTTCAAATTTAAGGCCAAAGTAGCAGAGCTGAAAGCATAACTGACTTGGAGAATCGTTCCAGTTTGGCTATTTTGACTTTAAATTTGACATGCACTTTGAATTCACATTTCAGTCAATAACTCTGTTAATGAGATGGAACTATGGGATCATGCAACAACCTAAACCTGCATACTTACTGTGATGGTACCATGAACCCGTGATACGTGATAGACTTATGGCACCATGAAATTCCAATTTAACTTTCTAAGCTAACGTATGTCCAAGAGACCTCGACCCAGACTTGGATAATTAGTTATATCACTCGAGAGTACTCTAGATGGTATAGAATTTCAAACTAACTAATTACCAGGTAATAGCCTGAATAACACAGTATTAGGCATCCCCAAGAGACCATATATGGGCATTCAAACTTATTTTTATCACATACAAAGACAGCTAGAAGTTCCACGCTAGCATGTTTCATCAACACTAACACATCGCAGCATAAGGTCTTGTCGGAGAACCACACATTTACAATTCTCTCAAAAGAAGACCCAGTCTTTGGTAGGAGCACATCTATATCACTATGAGACTTCAGCATCAACTTAACTTAGTCACCATGAAACAGCTTTGACAAGAACTCCAAAATACTTCCAGGCAACCGAATCCTAGAAATGCATGCTTACACGTATATATGTCAACAGGAACCAGAGAAAGGTGGCAAGACAGAAACTTAAAACATTTAAAGCATCTTAGGAAAACTAACAAAAAGGGTGCAGTCTACCATGGACATACCGTGACGGAGCAAAAAGAGATCTAACCTGAAGTTGTAGGTAAGGTAAAGACTACTATAAGAAAGGGCTGAAGAAGTAGATAACAAAATTGAGAAGACAAAGATGGCTTTTAGGGAACAACGGCCACACTTATCACGGATCACAGGATGCGTTTGTAACATTCCTTGATATGTCCAGATGTATAGGTTCAATATCAAGAGTTCTTAGTCTGTAGCACCCTCTTTACAGACATTTTTCACACTTCCACTCACCCATTGTGCTAAACAAACAGAAACCGGTACCAGGTTCAATGACCCATTCTTCTTTAGAGCAGAGAAATGCATCTATATCACTAATAGAATTATTCTGTAGAATTTCAAAATTGCACATTGACTGTTTTCATAATTTCTTGCTTTTCGACTGACACCCTTTCCCATTAATGTTTAGAAATAACATAGTATAAATTCAACAAATGTAATCTTCAATTTAGGCAAATATGCATGTAACTACAAAGAATTATGTTACACATCCGATATATAAACTTACAGCAGTATAATGCAATCAGTGCTAAAATGTAACATTTTTTTTAATTGTTGTAATTATTTACGTCTATAATTAAGGGCTAAAAAAAAATTACAAATTTGCATTGAATTTCACAATTGCCCTGGCTTCTGTACAAAAAGCTGTGAAACTCAATAATGTGTGTGAGGTGAGGGGGGTGAGTAAAATCAAATAATGGCAGGCAGTATAAATGATTAGAGCATGTGCTTGTAAAATCCCTCTTGCATTATGTGTTGGCTGCCCTGGGAAATTAAAGGGATTCATATTGCAGCCTTGGCTTCTATTTTAACATTACAAGTGCCAGTAGAAAGAGCGATGTAATTCATGCCACCCTGGCATTCAAAGGCTATCGTGGCTGGCTGAGGTTAAAGCCCAGTCGCGCACACTGTCACGGGGGCCAGTGGGTTTTGGGAGACGTGATAATATTATCAGCCCATCGAACACCACTTGAACAAGTTTCTCCGCATGTCACCAATAAAATCAATGGTGTTATACATCCCCCTTACAGGCAGGTCTACCCCCTCCCAAAAAAAGTTGCAAGGATGGCCATTAATCACATGAGAGCAGAGAGAAGCCGGAGAGATGATGTCTGGTCGGCTGCCAGACGCAGATAGATTTATTTACTTGCCTTGTGGTCTACGACGCTGATGTACCCTTCTAGGACAGGGCTGGGGGGAGACTCCTTGGGGGTGCTCCTTATAGATGTTCCATGCTGGGCCTGCTGCACCTTCACACTGTACATATTACTGTACATGATCACCAAGCTGGTACACATGGTGCTGAGAGCTAAGAACACTGCCAGGCCATGGCGCTGTAGAAAGGAAGACCACTGTCAGAAATACTCCACAGACTCGCCTACATACCCAGGTACTGGAAAACACAGCTCACCAACTCCCATCATCCAGTTACACGACGCAAGTTACAAGAGCTGAAACATATGCAGGTACCCTGTTCTCTATGCCGGGGTAGGCAACACCGGGCACTGGAGATGTTATGGATGGCTTCTCACCCGATGCTTTGCCAGCATTATAGCTGTAAGAGCTTCATGGGACATGTAGTCCACAACAGCTGGAGTGCCGAATGCCTACTGGTTAATCTGGGTAAATCTTTACATGGTAAGCTGACATGGTAGTTAGACACCCATAGTCAGGCACCTCTTCTGGGGTTGATGCCAGTGCAACCTCAGTGCCAGCTGGAAGGTATATGTGCTGGGTATAAGGTCAGCTACCCCTGCATGTAACAGTGGTGATGTACAGTATGGTACCAAAGTATGGCATAGCTACTAGTGCAAAGTCAGTTAGCCCTGTAGAGATTTATTATTTATGGCAAAATAAATATGATATATACATATTTTTGGCATATATTCAGTTACCCTGGCAGATGGTGAGTTATAGCACATAGTTAACACTGCAGGGTACGAATGCCAGCTTGCAGCCAGATGCCCCTGAAGGGTACAAATCCTAGCTTATAGCCAGATGCCCCTGGAGGATACAAATGCAAGCTTACAGCCAGATGCTCCTGCAGGGTATGAGTGCCAACCAACAGCTAGATGCCCCTTTAGAGTATGGCAACTGATAGAAAGTCAATTACTTATGCAGAATATGACTACCAGTGCACATGCAGCCTTAACACTTGATGATACCAGTTTATGTACATATATAGATACTCCTGCTGGATAATAGCAGGATGTTAGTTCACATTCTGATCCTCTGGCAGGGTACGGATAATAGCAAGGGGTCAGTTCACTAGCAGATACCCCTACAGGGGATAGGGTAAAATCACAGAACTATTTCTGAGTCTAATACTATTTCAGGGTGTGAGTAATACCAGGGTTCTAGTTATCAGTCTAATATTCCTGCAGGTGTGAGTAATACCAGGGTATTAGTTATCAGTCTAATACTCCTGCAGTGTATGTGTAATATCAGGATACTAGTTATCAGTCTAAAACTCCTGCAGGGTATGGGTATTATCAGGGTACTAGTTATATACTCCTGCAGGGTATGGGTAATATCAAGGTACTAGTTGTGTACTCCTGCAGGGTATGGGTAATATCAGGGTACTAGTTATATACTCCTGCAGGGTATGGGTAATATCAGGGTACTAGTTATATACTCCTGCAGGGTATGGGTAATATCAGGGTACTAGTTATATACTCCTGCAGGGTATGGGTAATATCAGGGTACTAGTTATATACTCCTGCAGGGTATGGGTAATATCAGGGTACTAGTTATGTACTCCTGCAGGGTATGGGTAATATCAGGGTACTAGTTATATACTCCTGCAGGGTATGGGTAATATCAGGGTACTAGTTATATACTCCTGCAGGGTATGGGTAATATCAGGGTACTAGTTATATACTCCTGCAGGGTATGGGTAATATCAGGGTACTAGTTATATACTCCTGCAGGGTATGGGTAATATCAGGGTACTAGTTATATACTCCTGCAGGGTATGGGTAATATCAGGGTACTAGTTATATACTCTGCAGGGTATGGGTAATATCAGGATACTAGTTATATACTCCTGCAGGGTATGGGTAATATCAGGGTACTAGTTATATACTCCTGCAGGGTATGGGTAATATCAGGGTACTAGTTATATACTCCTGCAGGGTATGGGTAATATCAGGGTACTAGTTATATACTCCTGCAGGGTATGGGTAATATCAGGATACTAGTTATATACTCCTGCAGGGTATGGGTAATATCAGGATACTAGTTATATACTCCTGCAGGGTATGGGTAATATTAGGGTACTAGTTATATACTCCTGCAGGGTATGGGTAATATCAGGGTACTAGTTATATACTCCTGCAGGGTATGGGTAATATCAGGGTACTAGTTATATACTCCTGCAGGGTATGGGTAATATCAGGGTACTAGTTATATACTCCTGCAGGATATGGGTAATATCAGGGTACTAGTTATATACTCATGCAGGGTATGGGTAATATCAGGGTGCTAGTTATATACTCCTGCAGGGTATGGGTAATATCAGGGTACTAGTTATATACTCCTGCAGGGTATGGGTAATATCAGGGTACTAGTTATATACTCCTGCAGGGTATGGGTAATATTAGGGTACTAGTTATATTATTAGGGTACTAGTTATATACTCCTGCAGGGTATGGGTAATATCAGGGAACATGTTATCAGCCCAAGTTGTGGCTATGTTGCACAGTAGCTTGTGCACCACACACTGACTGTCACTAACACGTCTAATAAACATTCACCTACTGTCAGACATCATACTACCCCTAACTAAGGATCCATGTCTGATCAGATTTCCCTGCAGGACCTCACATCAGGGGCCACTTACATCCCAGCATGATCTGTCTGACTCCCCTCACACCATGCCATGCAGATCCCTGACACCATGCCAAGCAGACCCCCACACCATGCCAAGCAGAGCCCCTACACCATGCCAAGCACCCTCACACCATGCCAAGCAGACCCCCACACAATGCCAATCAGAACCCCTGCACCCTGTCCAGCAGACACCCCACAATATGCCAAGCAGACCCCCAAGCCATGCCAAGCAGACCTTCTGCACTCCGCCCAGCAGACCACCCACACCATGCCAAGCAGAGCCCCTACACCATGCCAAGCACCCCCACACCATGCCAAGCAGAGCCTCTACACCATGCCCAGTAGACACCTCACAACATGCTAAGCACACCCCTCACACCATGCCAGGCAGAACCCCCCACTACATGCCAAACAGCTCCCCTCCCCATGCAAACAGACCCCCCCACCCATGCAAGCAGACCCCCCACACCATGCCAAGCAGACCCCTTGCACTCTGCATATGCAATAATGCCAACACCATGTGTTTGGGAAAGTTTACCCCTCTGCCATTCCTTATCAGAGTGCAGTGCCCACTCTCTGCCACCTCTGTGCCCAGACAGTATCAGACAATTAGTTGCAACAATTGACTCACCAGCAGAGTCTTCATCTTGTGGATCTCCCAGCAAGGAGCCGACTGTGCAGCTAGGTACCCGGCACTCTCCTATATGCTGCTGCCATTGTACACAGTGCAGGAGAGGGCGCAGGGAGGCAACAGCTGGGGAGGCAGGGCAGGGGCTGGGGAGGCAGGGCAGTAGCTTTGGAGGTAAGGCAGGGGCTAGGGAGGCAGGGCAGGAGCTGAGAAAGCAGGTCAAGAGATATTGTGGCAAGTGATGTGGAGGCAGGGCAAGTGATGGGAGGTAGAGCAGTAGCCGGGGAAGCAAAGCAAGAGATGATGTTGCAGAGATTAGAGACAGAATTAAACTGGACCCTCTGTCTGATCTACACAACTGCTCCCTTCCCAGCCGGCGTCCGCTGGGTCCTACAGCCTCCAGTTTCAGTGATGCAGAGGATTACAGCTTACTGGGAATGCAAACAGGTTATATCCCCTTACTCCTAGTGCTGTGGTAATGAAGGAGTTAATACAGTTCAACTGACATGCTGTTTGTAGAATTATTATGGTCTTGAATAAATTAGACTAACATAAAGCACAAGCTCCAGGCATTGTATAAAAACAGGAGGGCAGAATGGGAAGAGTTTAAAAGTAATGAGGGAGATTTATCAAGGCAAAACCATCATGTGCTATTCTAGAGCAAAATGTTAAATAAGGAGCAATCACCATGGAAACGGAATCTTTAGTACAACGCCTTTAGAATGTCTCTCAACATTCAGCACAATGCACCCGAAATAGCATCTGGTTTGTGTTGATAAATTCCCACAAGTGAATTATATTTTAATTATATTAATAACAGAGAGAAATATAGCTTTATACTATAGATCAGGGGTGCCCAGTAGGTAGATCCCCAGGTGTTGTAGAAGAATGCCTTTAGAATGACAAAGTATCATGGGAGTGGTAGTTCTGTAACATTTGGGGGCACCCCTGCTAAAGATAGTTAAGCTCTGAAGGAGAGAGAGAGAGAGAGAGAGAGAGAGAGAGAGAGAGAGATTGCGCACCATGAATAAGGTCTTTGGTGAATAAAGTCGCTGATAAGGTCAATGGAGGCTGAGCACCCTGGCCATGAATCCGATGAGTTACACAATGTATAAACATTTTAAACACACAGTTACAATGAATCACTATTTCTGTACCAAGGGAGGTTGTGAAACGTGAAAGGATATGTAAAAAAAACAACAACTAAATGTTAATGTATCGAAAATAGGTAAACGTATGATGTCAAACGTATTGTTTTATAAACAATCAATTGGGGAACAAAGTAAAAAGATGGTGCAATCACCGTGGAAACCAAAGCAATGTTTTAGTGATTGCTCAACTTTTTACAATTTCCCCCAGAATTGCTACTTGTTCTACATGAATGAGCAGTGCAAAAAGGGTTTTTTTTAAAAAAAATGTTTTTGTTATTTGTGTCTTTTTTTCTGCCCCATGATCCCTAGGAAGCAGTGTCAGGAACACCTTCAAAAAATGTCCTACCCCTTTTGATCTATACTGCAGATATTCACAGTACCTGCATTTCCTAATGTATAGCTTTAAAAAGAAACTTTGTAAAAAACAAAAAAAACAAAAAACATTGGGGCAGGCAGTCATCTAAGCACTGCATATTGGGCTGCTGCCAGTGATCCTCCTCTAAGCACTGCATATTGGGCTGCTGCCAGTGATCCTTCTCTAAGCACTGCATATTGGGCTGCTGCCAGTGATCCTGCTCTAAGCACTGCATATCAGGCTGCTGCCAGTGCACTCCCTCTAAGCACTGCATGTCAAGCTGCTACCAGTGATCCTGCACTAAGCACTGCATATCAGGTTGCTGCCAGTGATCCTCTAAGCACTGCATATCAGTCTTCTGTCAGTTATCTTCCTCTAAGCACTGCATATCAGGCTGCAGTCAGTGATCCTCCTCTAAGCACTGCATATCAGGCTGCTGTCAGTGATCATCTAAGCACTGCATATCAGGCTGCTGCCAATGATCCTCCTCTGAGCACTGCATATCAGGCTGCTGCCAGTGATCCTCCTCTAAGCACTGCATATCAGGCTGCTTCGAGTGATCCTCCTCTAAGCACTGCATATCAGTCTTCTGTCAGTTATCCTCCTCTAAGCACTGCATATCAGGCTGCAGTCAGTGATGCTCCTTTAAGCACTGCATATCAGGCTGCTGCCAGCGATCCTCCTCTAAGCACTGCATATTAGTCTGCTGCCAGTGATCCTCCTCTAAGCACTGCGTATCAGGCTGCTGCCAGTGATCCTCCTCTGAGCACTGCATATCAGGCTGTTGCCAGTGATCCTCCTCTAAGCACTGCATATCAGGCTGCTGCCAGTGATTCTCCTCTAAGCACTGCATATCAGGCTGCTGCCAGTGATTCTCCTCTAAGTAATGCATATCCGGCTGCTGCCGGTGATCCTCCTACAAGCACTGCATATCAGGCTGCTGCCGGTGATCCTCTTCTGAGCACTGCATATCAGGCTGTTGCCAGTGATCCTCCTCTCAGCACTCCAAATCAGGCTGCTGCCAGTGATCCTCCTCTCAGCACTGCATATCAGACTGCTGCCAGCTATCCTTTTCTAAGCACTGCATATCAGACTGCTGCCAGTTATCCTTTTCTAAGCACTGCAAATCAGGCTGCTGCCAGTGATCTTCCTCTGAGCACTGCATATCAGGCTACTGCCAGTCAGGGCCGGTACAAGGATTTCTGCCGCCCAGGCAAAGATCAATTTTGCCGCACTTTTAGGTCACTCACTTACTGACAGACACACACTGACAGACACACACACACACACACAGGCAGACCCTCACTGACAGACATACAGACACACATAGACAGACACGATCTGACACTCACACAAGCAGACATGCACACACACAGACAGACACTCACTAACATACATACAGTCACTCACTGACAGACACACACAGACAGACACTCACTGACATACATACATACATACACTCACTCACTGACAGATACATACACCCACAGGCAGATACTCACTGACAGACACACACACACACACACACACTGACAGACAAACACTCACTGACACATACACACACACACACACTCACTGACATACATACACTCACTCACAGACACTCACTTACAAACATACACACACATTGACAGACACGCACACAAGCAGACGCTCACTAACACACACACACAGACAGACACTAACTAACATGCATACACTCAAGTCACTGACAGACAGACACACACACACTGACAGTCAAACACTCACTGACACATAAACACACTCACTCACTGACATACATACACTCACTCACAGACACACACACACACACACACTCACTGACACAGACTCACACAATTTAATTTTTTGAGGCCCATCCAGCCTCCCTACATCCCTGGGGTCCAGTGTGGTGCAGCTCCTCACTCCTCCAGCGAGCTGTGTAGTATGCAGGGGCCAATATGACGTCATATTCTGCCTCCCGACATCACAGAGGACATGCGAGGGAGTAGTGGGAGGCTGCAAGAAGAGCTTCCCTCGCCACCTGCCTTCTTCTTCCCCCCTCTCCTCCGGTCACTGGGATTTGTTGGCAGAGCAGACACCTGCCATCAAGGTAAGCAAGTGCCTGCTCTGCCTTACCTAGCACAGCTTCGGGGGCGTCCTGGGGTGGCCAGACGGTTTAACAATCAAGTATCATACGTTACCTTTTCATGTTAGTCTCTCGTTAATTCTTTTTTTATATGTATGTAATTCCCCTTTAAGTAAATTCGAACTTGTCATTGCTTGGGTTTACTTGTATGGAAAGGGCAGAGTTGCGTTTCTCCTGAATCCTTAAAGGACCACTATAGGCACCCAGACCACTTCAGCTCAATGAAGTGGTCTGGGTGCCGGGTCCATCTAGGGTTAACCCTTTCTGCTGTAAACATAGCAATTTCTGAGAAACTGCTATGTTTACCTATGGGTTAATCCAGCCTCTAGTGGCTGTCTCATTGACAGCCGCTAGAGGCGCTTTCGCGCTTCTCAATGTGATTTTCACAGTGAGAAGATGCCAGCATCCATAGGAAAGCATTGAGAATGCTTTCCTATGGACTTGCTGAATGCGCGTGTGGCTCTTGCCGCGCATGCGCATTCAGCCGATGACATCAGAAGAGGGAGGAGAGTCCCGGCGCTGGAAAAAAAGTAAGGGATTAACCCCCTTCTTCCCCCTTCAGCCCGGCGGGAGTGGGACCCTGAGGGTGGGGGAACCCTCAGGGCACTATAGTGCCAGGAAAACGAGTATGTTTTCCTGGCACAATAGAGGTCCTTTAAGGAGATGCCCCTCAGTAATCTCTCTGAGGCAGTGCTTCTTTTGTTTAAGTTTACCGACAGCAGGTAGAAAGGCCCTCCCGCCCACCCTTGATTGTTGATTGTTGCGTATTGTATATCTCTAACTTTATTTCTTGTCACAGCTGGCGGGTATGGTCCTTGCCAAACCAGTTGGAAAACGAGTACACTGGAAGAAGGAATGCTGGGTCTGGTCCCTCCCCTAACCTCGGAGAGTTTTGGTAATTGGGCGTGCCCCCCGTGCCAGTATAAGGCGGCCAGGGGTTGGCATGGGGAATTGGAAGGCCAAGGTAAAAGGCCAGTTATCTTGGACGAGGGGGGAGGGCAGGTACCCTGGAAGGGGGTACTCCAGAGTTATTATGGTTCGGTTGGCAAGGACAAGTTTTCGAGTAAATTATTGGTTGATTTATTTATGCTTGTTATTATAAATAAAGCTGTGGCCTGTTTTATACCACACTTATGTCTCTTGGTTTTAATTGGGGGGAAAACGGGAAAATGTAATTATGATTGCACTGGTTCGCACCGCACAATAACCACTACCTACACACAAGCTTTTTCTTTGCTGGGCAGACTTCCCACTCCGCTTGTCGAATGTCTCAAGAGTCACAGCCCAGCACAGTGTCATTCAGCAGGTCTCAGAAAAGTGGAGGCAGCTAGCTGCAGGATGCAGATTGGGGTCCACATTTTTCCTCTGTCTGTTGCAGATCATT